GGAGGCGCTCAGCTTTAAAATCCGATCAATTACCGCACAACAAACATCGAATCGTCTGCGAATGACTTATTTTATCGATCGTCGTATTATTTGAATCATTAATCGTTTTGGTCGAAAAATCGTGATTTTCTCCAATGTAGGCAGGTACACGCGCACATAAACCCTCACATAATCAGGAATTGGTGAACATAACATTACATTTTGTTTTTGCAAAATCTCACAGTGTTCACGAATTTTACTATAATTAATGAAATAAATTGAATCGAAGGACGTATATATCATATTACCTACACACGAAATAAAATATATTCAAAGTTCGGTTAACAACGCGATAGTATATAGATATAGTAGCTCAACGTTTTAGGTAAACATAATATATAATATTTTTTTTCTCCGTAAATAAATAAATAAAATTATTTTATATTTTATTATACCTATACGAGTGTAGAGTAACGTGTAATAATAGTTGTTTTCATTATTATCCGTCATCGGATTATGACACACGAGGTGTGCTGCTACGTATACACATTAAATATAAATACATAAGGTGTTTCTATAATATTATAAAATATACACTATACAGTCTAACTAGACATGTTTTACCGTACAATTAATGATTTATACTGAAAAGTAATATTATACTATAGTACATCTACTCGTTGATCTTTTTTAAAATGTCAATGTCTCTAAATCAAAATATGAATTAGTAGTTTCTTAAGTTATTAATGTGCATATATTCTATATTATGATTTTACAAAAATATCAAACAGAACGTAATATTGGATCTAGTATATTTTATTATATACCCATTACAAGGACATTTTTACAAATTATAAAATGTTGATAGATTCCATCCAAACCCAATACCATGAACAAATTAATCTTAGTAAGTACCTACACCAATTTAAATAACTCAACATCTATTGTCTTTCCAATATTTCTACATAAAATGTTCAAAAAAGGCATCCGTTTAACAATTCCCATGGAAAACCTGCAGGGAGAAAGACGTGTGATTTTCGAAAATCCATATTTGTATCCACTCAAGATATTCGCCTTAAATGGTAGGTTAGGTTAGGTAGCTATATAAACAATCTAAATAATTGAAAATATACTTAGAAGTTCAAAAAAATGAGAATTTAAACAAATGCATTGTTAATGGATGAAATGGGAGTGAGAGCATATTTGGTGGATCACTCTGTATATACATATAATCTTGCACTATAGATATCACGGATATTTGGCAGCAGGACCAGCAGGTATTGTGAGGGACTCTGTATAGTCAGCTGTACCTATATTATAATATAATATTATCATTATATTGCATATTATATTTTATAGACACAACGTAAACAAAAGCAAACGATTAATAATATATATTATAATATGGACGATAGCGGAATAATACGCTCTCGCTGTCATTATACAAATCGCGCATTTTTATTTAATTTCATTTTTTACGGCTTTTCAATTAAAAACGCATGCTATACGACGCGGCGCGGCTACAGCTACATAATAATATAATATAATATTATCGATATTCGTTATCTTCTACGCTATTTTATAGCTGATAAAATATTATATTACACACGCATATGCTTACCTATCAAGACGTAGAAGTATTATACGACTGTAGACGAGGACCGAAAGCGGCCTATACAAAAATGTGTGTGCCTACACAATCGTACAGGATCTGTAAGGCAATGGCAGTGAATAAGTAGGTATATACCGGGTGATCCATTTTACGTAAGTGTATGACACTCATCAAAAACTGATAGTTTTTGAAAACATTTTTCTAAAAAAAAAAAATTTATAATTGTATTTTTATGTATTTTTTTACCGTTTTTTATCGTTATCATTTTAAACTTTTTTCAAATTTTTCAATGACCAAATGCATTTTTAATTACTTGTTCCAAAGAAGAATATCATTTGGAGTAGGCACTTACTTGATACATAAATTGAAATTCGTATGAGTAGATATTGTTTATGAGTTATAACTTTAAATATCTATAACTAATAAACTATCATAATATTATACTTGTCCAAATTTTGTAAGGACCAGAATACTCTGAAAAATATTCTGCTTCGGAATATAAGATAAAAAAATGAAAGTTGTTCTAAAGAGTAAAAAACTTTTATAAAACATATTATTTAGTAATCAATTAAAATTATGTAAAATAAACATATTATATTCAAAAACTTTTATGTTGTTGTTTTTTTTTTGGAATAAAGAGTGTTCTACATTAAACGTATCACCCTGTATATAAATTCCGACTCTAAAACAAACGACGGACGACGACGAAGACGACGACAACGATATCTCGTTTCGAATTTTTTTTTATTGCGTTGCATTTCCGAAAAACGTTTTGAACCATCGCGCGGGCTTTCTATATAATATAATATTATAATATACTCGCACGTCATGGCGAGCGGACAAACAAAAAACTAAAAAAAATCGTATTTTATCCTACCGTCGACGAATCGTTTATAATAATAATAATATCTATATGTGGTAGTAGAATGTGTTCGGGAAAGACCATTTTCCTTCCGGTTCTATTTGGTTATATGGTTGGAGTTAAGAGGATGTCGCTGTGTCTCGGTGCACTATTTGGTTTCTTTTTTCAAACCACGTGCAACATGGCAAAATATATATTTTTTCATTTTTTGTGAAATATGAGGGTTTCAAAACTGTAATATTCTACGTATAGAAATGTGCTAATTTTCATAAAAATCTAAATAAAGTTAAAACACGACCGATGTTCTTAACTTTAAATTTGATAATATAGATAAATTCACTCTAATACTGAAATCAACATCGCGAGATCGGGCCGGTCTGCTGTAGTCAATTCTCAAATAGTTGCCATATTGCGCTTAAGTCTGCGAGACGAAATTCACATTTTGCTGACATCCTCTCAAGTGAACATTTTTCTTACAGATATATATTATTTATAAAAATATAAAATTATGATGGTTTTTGAAGCCGTTACGATATTTATTTTTCACTCCAATATTGACGCATTCCTAGCATCGACCATGCAGACAGGTTAGGTTTGTTCATATAGTGTCGCGTTTATCTAATACTATACGATACATTATAATATTATAGACATGCCTTTGAAGGGGTAGAGTTTTAACGATTTTTGGGGCAATTCGAACGCATTAATTATAAAAGTTATACACATTTTCTGAATTCGTACAATACGTCCCCATACCTACACAAATATTTTGTATTTCCGTATTGCATTCATCATGACGTCGAGTCGTACTTCACACCAAAATGGGTGAAGACATACATGTTTGTTGTTTTCGCGTACATAGGAAATCCGAAAAATATATATTACACACATAGTATATTATATTGGACAGCTATACAATTAACGAAAAACGCGTACACGGTGCAATTGTGCAATTATCATTTTCGTCCATGTTGCTATGTGTAAATTCGAATATTTAAGAAAGTCAAAATATTGCAGCCATGAAAATATAGACACGTGACTTTCCTTGTTGTATTATGTCGCTAGTTATTATGATTATTTTTGGATGTGCGGTGTCGGGTCGCACGGCGATTGTGAGATGGAGATTTGACGTATCTGTGGGGGCCGTACATGTATAATAATAATAATAATAATAAAATGATACGCGTTTCCGAGGATCCGGTCGGTTCGAAAAGGATGTTTGTGTGTGATCCTATACACGTCATATTATATTATACATTTCGTATATAATTATTTAGGCTTCAGGTCATATAATGTTCAACTTGGCAGCAGACTATCATCATAATGCGATAACGGGTCGGCCCAACATTTGACAGTGCTTCGCGTGTGCAGTGACCGAACTCATCCAGCCACTAATTTAACGAGGCATCGAGATGATTTTCGGGGAGATAATAATTGTTATCCTGCAGACGTCTGCTGTGGTTTAGGTTTCCATCGTGGAGATTTCTAAATCTTTATCGCATAATGGAGTTTGAGCCACTTCACCAACCGCATGCGGAGATATTATAGTCATGGGGTGCGTGGAGATATATAACATAGGTACATGGAGATGGGCCGAGAATAGTACACTTGCAGCGTATAGTATTATTGGTAGATATTTGAGATTTTTCTCGAAACCCGAAGTTCTATGCGGCGTAGGGGAATATTGGCTTTTGATAACATTTTATAATATACAATTTAAGCTATTATAGCTTTGGTATTCATTTTTTAGTCATAAATACGACCGTCGTGTTGTATTCATTTTTAGTGAGGAGCAAAAATGTATACAAGGTACCAACCCACCCCCCCCCCCCCTTGATGTTTATAACGGCATTTCCAACTCAGCAAAAAAGTTTAAATTAAAAATTTACAAAATATGCGTTCATTTGTAACGATTTGTATATAATCGGATAATATGACATTTATATGATATGATACTTATCTAATTTATTGGGTAGCCCATAACGGGCATTCATCAGTTACCCTCAAAACTAATATTTTATATTCGCCCCCCTCCCTCAAACTACTTAAAGCAAAATTCATCAGTTGCCCTCAACATATTATAACAAATGACCATACTACCACACCTGGCGTAATATAGGGAAGGTAAGCATGTGACGATATGACATCATGCTGCAGGACGTGCAGGCTTATAGTGTTAGTATTCAATAATGAAAATAAAAGAATCAATACAATGTTTTCAATGATAATAATAAGCGAGATAAATTGTATAATTTGTCAAAAAAAAAATGTTTGCGTCTAAAATTACCCTCTTTGTACCAGGTGCGCCATTAGACGTGGAGGGCTGCAAAATGGTTTATTCGGATGAGGGAAACTGGTACATTTTGTAAATGCCGAAAACAGCCGATGTGGGCAACGGGTCAACACCCGGGGGTGGGGGGCAGTGATTTAAAACGGTCGAGGGGGATGTTACAACACCAAAACACCCCCTGGTCATACGCCACTGCAGACGGGCCTGTCAAGATTTAATAAAATTGTTGTGGTTATTGTTGTTATATCGTCATATTAATGTATTGTTACAGTGACGGGGCCGACAAGCAGAGGTTCTACGAGGTGTCGTGCAAGCCGGGCGTCGAGGGCAAGCCGTGTCTGTTCATGGAGCGCAAGCTGCACGCTCACTCGACGTGCGTGCAACGGTATTCGTATTCGTACGCGATCGTGCGCGAGGAGAACGCCCGGCACCACCACGGCGTGAGCAGTGGACAGTACAACAACAACGGCGGCAAGCAGACGTTCCAGTCGCTGTTCCCGAACGACAACAACGTTTGGAAATTGGATTACATAAAGGTGCGCAGCGGGTGCGCGTGCATGGTGCAGACGCCCAAGAAAAAGCAACAAAAGCAGAGGCGGAAGAACGGCGGCGGCGGCGGTGCGGGGGGCAGCAGTGGCGGCGGCAAGAGCAGGTCGCAACAATGAGCGATGACCAAGACGACGACGACGCCGACGACGACAACGACGACATTACACTATTACAGCGGCGGCGGCGGCGGTGATGACGCCACTGCGCCGTCGAGCACGGTGTGTTCCGCGAGTCCTATTCAATAGACGACGACGACGACGACCCTTTTTAACTCGTGTCGTCGTGTTCCCCCCTCATCACGCGCCTACGCACAATAATTATAATAATAATAATAATATAATGTAATATTACGCCGTACACGCACGTTATGAATTAACTTTATAAAATATTTCACCTAATATTATTATCGTGTACGGCACACGCCTCTCATCCGTTTCCGACTCGACGACGATTGTTTTTTTTATCCACCCATAAATTTTTAGGTATTATTTTTGTTTTTTAAATTATAAAATATTGTTATGATATTATGCAAAACAAAACAAAAAAACCACAAGCGATATTTTTATACTCAATTTTTTTTATCGCTTTTGGTTTGTTTTTTAATCCAACGAAACACACGTGCGCACGTCATGCCGCGCGAGTCTTCTTCTTCTTCTACTTCTTCTTCTCCTCCTACAATTTTTTGATTTTTTTTTTTCATTCACTCTCGCCTCAAATAATACGTTCACCGCCACACTATAGCGATTTCACGTAGACACCGCACACACTGGCAATTTATAAAGACGTTAAGAAAAAAAAATAGTATTAATTTATACGTCGCCACGAACCGTTTTATTAATATTATATTATATATTTTTTTTTTTAATCAAATTTTATAATTCAATATAAAACAATATACATATTATAATACACGACTATATTATGTTATAATATATTATATTATATTATAGTGTATAGCGAGCGGTTATAATAATAATATATAAAATATAATATTATACTGTTTATAGTCATTCGAATGTTACCTTAGGCTTATATGAATAGGTAATATTGTTAAGTAATTACGACTGCTTCGCAACGATAGGTAGGTAGGTAGGTATGTAGGTAGGTATATATACATACTATACATAATATAATAAGTGCATATTATAATATTAAAAAAATAATAATAAATGTTTTTTGTTATATATTATATACATACTCGTTACCTCGATCTATAATTATCATCTTCGGGATGAATTACAACATGTTAATTTTTTTTTTTTTTATCAAACAAAAGCGCTGCGTTTTACTACTTATTATACACACACACACACACACTCGCGTAATCTCTCCTTATAACTTAATATGCTTCTAAATTAATATTGTATATTATTATCCTCTTCTTCGGCACCCGCATTATTAACTTATTATTATTTTTTTCCTTCGTCATTCTGTTGTACATCATCATAACCAATAATATTATAATATATGTGTTTTTTTTAATCTTTATAAGTGTACGTTCAAATATATTATGGTATGGATATATAATATATATATATTGACATATTGTCATATGTGTATATTTATTTATTTTTTGTTAATATTATATATTACCGTGTTGATAATATAGTAGTAGGTATGTACTTTGTACAACATGTACATAGAGGATACACGTACGTATTTATTCACTACAATCATTGTACATTTTATGTTGTTTATTTATTTACTACTTTTAATTACATAATTTATATATATTATACGCCACGTACATACTATTATTACCTATGTATAACTATTATAATAATTTAATTGTCGAATATTTTTTTTATTTGTATTTTTTGTTTTTTGTCAATTTCAATTTTAGTCCGTTTCGTATTATATTATACATTATTAACAACGACCCATTAAGCTGTTTTTGCCACACATAATTGCATCATTTTCAACGTTACCTAACATGGCCGATAGTAGTTACATAACCGATGTCAAACGCACACACACAAGTGCCCACTTATTATACCTAATATTATATCTTTATACAAATATTTTTATATTCTAGTTTGTATCCCGACAACGACTGTGTACTACATAATAATAATAATAATATAATAGCACAAAATAATAAAATATATTTTACTACGTAGTGGAATAGTTTATACATAATATTACACTGCAAAACTATATTAATATTGTTATGTAATAATACCTCGCGTGCTTCTGCCCATGTCATATTATTATTAGGAATCAGTTCAAAATCCCGACAAATCAAAACCTTGACAGTTCAAAATCCAGACGAATTTTCGTTTAAAATATAAAAATGTATTGTAAACAATATTACCGTTGATAAGCAGGTATATAAGTGCACAAGCATACAATTATAATACATAATATACAAACAACAAACATCAATCGCTGTACCTGAGAGGCTAAAGGGTCTAAGTCAATTATTGTAACTTTTCAGGAGAGCCAAAAAACCGTTTTTCAACTATTTTATTTTACTTAAATGGCTGGTGTAAATTCAATTTAATGATTATACCAACAAGGTTTGTTTTAAATAATAAGCTGTAATATTCTCAATAAGATGAATATTTTTTCTTTTAATTATAACTTACCTATAATTGTTTATTTTACGATTTAAATGAAATGTTTTGGACTTAGATCATTTTGCTCAATCACACAGTGGACTTGGACTCTATTAATCTCCATGTTAATTTTGATTATTTATGGACTTGGATCATAATTCATAAATCAAAATAAATATTTGGACTTAGTTCTTTTTGTTATTTCCCAATATCTCGGTAAATATTCGTTACTGGACTAAAATGAAGATAGGTAAAATTTCACATAAGAAAAAACCATAACCTCAATTTTGATAAAAGTGGACTTGGACCCTTTAGCCTCTCAGGTACAGTTATTATTTATGATACAAGTATATAACTATAACTTATACATGGGCGAAAATTTAAATCGGCTAAGCCCCCCCCCCCAAAAAAAAAACTCCTGAAGCCTTCACAACCTCATATTTCCTGTCTTAATCTCCCTTGTCAGTATAGTAAAATTAATAAAATTATGCTATTGTAATATCATTCAAGACTTTCCGAGTTAATTTATATTTTAAACCATATTTATTAAGCCTATTAGATATATAACTCGATTTAATACGTTTTTGATTTGTCGGGGTTATGACCATTGGCCAATACCCTAATTATTACCTATTATTGTATTTACGATGGTTTTACGACGATTCATTAAAATGTTGTTCTCTTGTACTGTTCGATTGACATATTATATTAATATTATGCTCCGAATGTCGTACACGATTAGTCGCGAACAGTTCGAATTTTCAATAAGATAATATAATATTATAACAAATTACTATGCATTTCTGTAGGTAATAAATTAGTCGGATACGAATCGCATACGACATTCGAGCTTGTGCTTATTATATATACCTAAAATAATATATTATATTATCACTGATGTCTGATTTTTTTTTTGTCTAATGTATAAATGCGCACAGAAACGACCAGAAAAAAAAAATTAACAACAATTGTAACGATTATCGATATTTTATTGTTAGACGGCGTTTTATGTATGCATTTAAATCGACATTTATGTGTCTTCAATAGGGTTTAGATGGTTAGGAGCAAAACAACACAATAATATTTTGCCAGAATGCTATAGAAAATAATGTGTCCGAGTGCGCCTTTGCTGATGCTATATCGGCAATAATATTGTAAATTCATCAAACAGAGTCCGATTTATATATACATATAATATCTATCTGTATATATATTATATAAGTATAAATATGCACAATTTAGATTATTGTTTGATAATCGAAACATTTAAACGCACTTTTTTTATGAATTAATAAAGAATAAATTATACCTATAATTGATTGTTCTAGTTTTATTTCCAAAGTATCGTTATAATGTTATTATACAGTTCGTTACTATAGTCGGTGAAACAACCGACTTTGTACTTGTACTTAGAAAAATGTGTTCAGCTACTTTACTGACGAAATTGAATAGCACAATTTTATCAACAAATGGCAAATCACCGCCAACTAAAGGCTACATGTTTCTTCTTCTTCTTTAGTTACGGCCCTTAAGACCATCCTGAAAACGTTAAACTTTGCCCCCTGTCCTCTGCTACTTCTCTCCATTTGACACCAGGCTCTATCTTTTCCACTTCTCTCTTCACACTATCTTCCCATCTTAACTTAGGTCTACCTAGTGGTCTTTTTCCATTATAGGCTCTTCTTCGATTTTACTAAAGTACCCTGTTTGAGCCAAGCATGTCCTGCCCAACTTAGTTTCCGCTTGACGATCTCTAAACACTACATGTTTATGGGTTAAAAATTAAAAGTTTTTTCAAGACATTACGCCATTACGCCTAATCTGGCAACATCGAAATAATTTTAAAACGCAATCGTACATAATATTTACCCAAAATTGATGTTATATTTTCCTGTTAAAATGTGCTCAATCGCATTATGAAAAAGGTAAAATGTGAGCAATCGTACATTATTATTTATTATCATACCTACCCATATACCATAATGTACCACACGCAGTCACGCTGCAGTCTGCATAATACATAATTCAGATATCATTAAAGGACAATGATTTCCATTTTCCATACAACCTATACACTATTAAGTCGATACTCAGTAGGTGGCAACATTTATTGGAATTTCACCCTCCTTTCAACACATCATTACTTGATCGGCACTACATTTTAAGACGGAGCCATTTTCCTCCAAAAATGAGATACCGTTGTCCTCCACAAAAAGGAGGAGGAAATTAGTTTCTCTATTTTAAATATATTTTCCTCCGAACCCATTTTTATACTAAAATTATGTCCATTTTCTTTCAAATATTAAAATATTTAGCCGATAGTTTAGCGCCATGTGAGTCATTTGGGGGGGGGGGGGTGCAGGGTGTACATTTGTACCAACTTTTTTTTTTTAAATGCCTTCTTTGGCCTGCCAATAATAAATATAAGCGCCTATATACCTAAGTGTTTTATATTATATGTTTTTTTTATATTTTTTCAGTATTAAAAAAAAAAAAAAATTATTGTACTTATGTTTTATTTCCAAGAATGTTTGATGTGATTTTGTGGTCCCACAATA